TCACCTCTTGCTCTAATCTTTCGTTGGCCTGTTACATAAAAAGGTTAATAACATTGCTTTGAATGGAATATAAAATCGGTTGGATTTAATTAATGATTATAAATTATAAATAAATACCTTTTTCATATATTGAGAAATGTTATCATTTGATATCACTGCAGCAGCTTCTCTTTCGTAATATTGACGTGTTTTTTCCAAGTATGGCTTTTCAAACACTTCATTATATAAATATAATTGCTTGTTATCGGTAAAAGTATTAAGTTCAACTGATTACAGAAAAACCGATTAGTATAAAATAACTTATGTAAAAAATTAAAAGTAATGAAAATTAAAATACCAAGAGAATTAATTGCATCTGCGACAACATTAGGCACTGTATCCTTTCCGTCCCTATCTCTTCGGATCAATTCAAATATCTGATACATAAACCGATCAGAGTGCTTCAATCTTATGTCGTCAATAATTCGCTCTTTCCATATCAGATACGCCAGCTTTAAATGTTTTTAAACAAAAAAAAAATAACGAACTACTGAATTTCAATAATTTAATTTTCTTAATAAAATATAGATATGAAAATATGACTTTAAATATTCCTTGCAAAATACAAACCGCGTGAACAGTTTGCCTTCTATATTTGCCATCTTCAACAGGACGGTTTCTGTCCATCCCGCTACGATCTTTAGGATCCTTTTTCATTATTAGTCTGTTAAGGTATTCACATATCTTGCTAGAAGCATCGGAAGCAACTCGGTAATGTTCCCATTCTCTAACATATGCGCTAACTACGTCATCATGATCCAAAATTGACTTGAAATATATTCAATATAATTTAAACCAGGTTATCAATGATTTATCATAAAAAGATATTGGATCAAGTAATTTCTGACCATTTTGCATACCATTCGAATTTTTGTAGTATACTGAGTCAAAAAATCGGCAATAGAATTAAATAATTTCTTTGTATGTGGCTTAGGATAGGAAGTACACATATCATAAACCAATCTTTTTACAAGTAAAGATCTCGGTCAAAGAAAATA